TAGAAGAAAGGGCAGGCTTCACCAATGAGAGAAGGCGCATTGGTAGGAGAAACCCAGGCTGCAAGTGCCAGAGGAGGATGCTTTCAGAAACAAAAGAGAGGATTGGAACACACGGAGCCCACAGAGCACAATATGGTCGGTGGGCGTGTCCTTGTGGAGTGGGTGAGCATTCAGGGACGAGTCTGCACGGCTTTGCCTCTGGAAGCAGGAGGTTGCTGCTTGTGATTGGAGTGGAAGGTACACAGCCATCATGAGACACAAACACCCCCACGGGTCTGGGAGGCACAGGGCACACCGGCTTCACAGGACAGTGCCCAGTGCTGCCTCTGCCTCTGCCCTGGCCTGTGCGGCCAGGATCATGGCAACTGCCAAGTGACATCTCCACTGGGACGTCTGTCCGATAGATTCAGACAAGTCCAACCTCAAGCTCCAGGTCCTCCCGCCTCAGGAGCCTACACTCTCCCAGTCTCCCCATCGTCACCCCCACCTGGCCATCCATCTGATCCATCCTGTCAATTCTACCCCTGAAATATAGCCCAAATTTGCCTGCTTTTCTCCATCTTCATGGCTGCCACCATCTTCTCTCCAGGATTGCAGCAATTGCCTCCTAACCGGTGTTCCTGCTCTCAGTGCTGCCTCCTGCGATCCAGTCTACACCGAGGGGCCACAGGGATCTTTTAAAAACATAAGTCCAGTCACCACCTCACATCTCACCGCGCCTTTCTCTGTCTCTTGCACACGCACACTGAATCCTCCAGAGCGTCCCAAGGTTGACTAAACCCAGATGCTTCACCCTGCTCGCCTGACCCCTGTGCGTGGTCTGGCCCGCTCTCCCCTCTCCCTCCCACTGCATCTCCCAGCCCCTCCCCTTCCTCTCTGCTCCAGCCACACCGGCTCCCTTCTGTTCCTCCGCACACTCCCCCCACCCCCACCCCGTGCCCACCTCCTGGACTTTGCAGAAGCTGGACCCTTTGCCTGGAATGCTTTTCCTCCAAACTTCACCTGGTCACGCTTGGCATTTGGGCCTCAGCTTAAATGCCACCTACAGAGAGGCCCTTCCCGACCTGTCTAGTGGAGCTCCCTGCCCCTTATCGGCCGCTGGCCGCCTTCTCGCAGTGCTCCTGGCCTATCTCTCCTCGGCGCGTCCTGCGCCGCCCTCACTAGGCTGTGAGCTCCGGGAGCCGCCTGTCTGACTGGCCGCCAGTGCGCCCCTCCGCCCGCAGGAGCGCCCACTCCCTGGAGGAGGGAGGAACCGCGGGAGGCAGGCTAAACCTCCCTCTAGCTTGTGGCCCAGGCTGGGTCTGCGCTTAGCAGCCGTGGGCCCATTTGAAATGAATAAAACTAAAAAAAAAAAGACCGTACCCTTTTATGTAATGATGTTTACTTTGAATTTATATTAGTTCACACAAACACTCATCCATGCTTTTGTTCCGGCCTCCGGTCCAGTTTAAGAACCCATTGTGGCCCTCGAGTCAAAAAGTTTTCCCACCCCTGGCTGAGTCAGACTTACCCATAGGGCTGGGCATGGTGGCAGCTGGTTTCAAGATTAGCTCTAGAGACCAGGTGGGGTTAGTTTAGAGAATCGGTTTGTTTGGGGTTCACTTATTGAGATGTGTTTAGATTTGATGTTAGGGTTGGGTTTGAGCTGTGATTGGGGTTGAGGTTAAATTTGGGTTAGAGTCAAAGTCGGTATTAAATCCCCATTTTGATTTGAGGCCAAGTTTAGGGTTGAGGCGAGCGCCTGTCAGCTGGGTTGGAAGCCTTGGAGAGTCCCCTGGCCTCTGCCGAGACCACAGTGAGACGTGCCCGAGCGGGGGTGCAGGCTCCAGGCACCAGCACTGCCCTCGGGAAAGCCCCAGGCCAGCTGCTGGCCACCCCAAGAAAGAAACCAAATTTCACACAACCTCCCTCGAAACTAAGATCGAAACCAAGATTGGCCCATCTGAAGAGCTGCCTTCCGCACAGCGCCCCGTGAGGGCCTCGCGGCCGTGCCCCTCCTTTCGGCCCCCTCGCGTCCCCACCACCCCTCACCTTCCCCTTTCTGTCCATCAGTGCTCGGGCCTCCTCTCTGACCTCACAGTTTCTCTTTCTCACTGGTAACTGCGAGGTCCTTTTACACTTTCCTAGAGCGGCGGTCTCTGTCCATCAGCCCCTGCCGTCAGAGAGGCAGAGAGACACCAGGCAGGACGGGCCCTAGAGAAAGCTGGGCACAGAGCAAAGGAAAGGGCAGGAACCAACGGTGACCCAAGACAGTGAGGTTAAAAGAGCAGAACCCGAGCAATGCAGACCACGACACTTAGAGGCGCGTCTGTGACCGCTGCTCTTCCCCCATCACACCTGCTCAGCCACCGGGGCCTGCAGGTTTTGCCTAGGAACTCTCCTCCTTTCTCCTGCTGCAGCCTCTGTAGAAATCAGCTCCTGTCACCCACTTGCTGGGTCACTGCGAACCCTCCTGACTGGTCTGCACACTCCGGTTTCCCCTCCGGCTCTCCAGCCCCGCACCCCAATCCACTTCCAAGTAGCTGCCAGACTCGCCTTTCTAACGTGCCAATCTGGACGGGTCCTGCTCACTTAGCAGCTGGGGCAGCTCATCACAGTCACAGTGGAATGCAGACCGTTCCGGAATGCAGACCGTTCCGTGGTCTCAGACCCCAGGATAGCTCTCAGCTACGTGCCACGCTCCTTCCCCCGCCGCCGGCACCCAGGCGCACCGCTCAGCACGCGCCCGCCGTCTGCACACACGGTTCCCTCCGTCAGAACTCCTCACCATCTTCTCTGTGCCTGAAGCCCACTCCCCAGGCGCCATGCTTTTCTGCGGGCTGCCGTGAGCGCCCCATCATGGATCTGTCACACCTGCTCTCATGTCCCAGTGACTGCCCTGTCTCCCACTCTGGATTTTGCGGCCCCGGAGGTCAGGAGCCTGTCTTTCGCATCTGTATTCTCAAGGTCGTGTGCAAGATGCTCGGTACATGTTAGTGGGACAGAGAAAACACTGAGTATATGGGATGAGAACAAAAAGAAATAACATGAGACTGTGCGGCAGGAAAGGCAGCGCTGCAGGCTGCGGCGGGAGCGGAAAGCACCCTGTGCACACCCTGGGGGGTCACCGAGCTCAGGACCCCGCCCGGGGCTCAGTGCCAGGGAGAGCACCCAGCGCCCAGGGAGGAGGCTGCGCCGCCATCACCCCCTCAGCACCCGTCCCTCCAAAACTCTCCAAATGGAAGCCTGCGACATTAGTGAGCGTGAGATTGGGTTCCCAGTCTCATGAAACATGAGTAAAATCATCTTTAGAAACCTCGCTTTTTAAAAACCTGCAGCTTACAGGCTCAGTGAAAACTGGCTCATGTTCAAGAGTGTTCAATGATTTCATGCCGGCCAATTCCAGGAACGCCCGGAGGCCCCCCGCAGAATGGATAAATCAATTATTCTATTCACACAACAGACATCTCACCGCCTCCTGACGCTCGCACGCAGCGGAGCCGGAAGAACCCACACACAAGTGAGCGCCCTCCGTGTGGTTTCATTTATCTGCCGTTCACAAGCAGGAAGCACTGATCGATGGTGAGAGGTCACAGTGGCTGCTGTCCTCGGAGGGCACTAACGGAGGGACCTGGGACTGTGTGAGGGTGGTGCTGCCTGGCTGCAAACAGGCGGGAGGCCTGCCAGGCCGCTGTCTGAGAGCAGCCCTCACCTACTAACACCGAGACGCCGGGTCCTCCCCTGAGCCAGCGGCCGGCTCTCCAGTGCAGCCTCCAGGCCGGTGGCTGCCACACCCCTCCATCCCGCGCGGTGTGTGGGGGTTCTGGAGACCCGATCTGCAGGGCCCGAAGGGAAGGCCGGTGTGCGGTGCGGTATCTCTGTGGGTGGGGACCTGCATGTCTCCCAGGTCAGCAGACAAGGGTCCCAGGCTCCTTGATATGAAACTTGACAGGAAAGCTCACACTGGGACAACGGGACTGGACCATTTGGGACAGACAGGGTGCAAGAGGAGGGGTGGGCCAGAGAGAAGCCTGCAGTCAGAGAGGCCGAGCTGTTACACGTTACCGCTCTCCAGGCAGCCAGGCCTCCAGCCCACACCCAGGTGCTGCCCTGGGCTCCCCGAATTCACCGTCCTTTTCTGGAACTCCTAAGCCTGACCCCACTCCCTGGCCCTCCCAGCCCCCAAGTCCCCTGACCCCACACCCTTTCCCAGAACCCAGCCGTCCGCGCAGCCTGCGGTTCTCTGGGGCCTCAGCCTTCCTGCCTTCGGCTGAAAGGCAGCACCTCTGAGCCCTGGGGGCTTCCCCGGCCCAGCAGGCCTAGAACCGCCTGCCGTGCTGCTTCCTCTATAAAGGC